CGGAGCATTTAATATATAATTTGATTGTCTATCTAAATGCCTACATTTATACAGACAAACAATTAGAGATATACATTATGATGACAAAATGAGTTGTTGTTTGTATAACAATACACGCATATATTATTACAATTCGTACCTAAATGTAGACGGTTAAGTCTTTATTTTGTGCTAGCACACATTTGGTTTTATTCTTCTCCGAGCTAAATAGAATACGATTCGTTGAAATTTTACGTTTGAATATAATCATTATTATTATACCATTTGTAAAATAATTTAGAATACTAAGTTGGATTTATTTAAAGAGAGTTTTGTTGAAAATTTTCAATATAATTTGGTTTACATTTCTCCATAGTTGTCACTGATTCCTCTTTTTTAAAGTATCATTTGTATTCTATTTCGATGCAATATTGCATCGCTTTTTTTATTGTCTAGAAAAAATAAAGCGATAAAATTACATCGCAAGAACAAAATATGCATTGATTAATCGTTTGGATTTTTAAACTATAAATGTTTTCTGATTCCTTATTTTCAACTCATATTATTTAAATACTTTATCACATAAAACAAAGCAAAACAAACGAATGGTTCGTTACAATATCATCAATTTCGCATAACATATTTACATTGAACAAACGTTACAAAAAAATAATGTTTTTATCATTAATGGTTAAACATTTATTGGTAAAAATGAATTGTGAAAATTTCAATTTAGGTAATCTATTCAATTTTAAACTACAGTTCTACCAAATCATCATACAATATTAATATTTTGGTGGCTGAGGTTTTGAAATCGAACAACATTATTATAACTTCATCATATTTTCGAACAGTAACAAAGTAAAGACATTTTTATGTGCCTATAACACCATGCATTTGGCCACTGGCCATTTAACTTCCTGGGCAGTAGTACGTCACTGAATTAAAAGGTGTAAGTATACTGCGTTGATGTACTTGCATTCAATGGCACCGAACAAAATATTAAATGGTCTGGTCAATAGCCAACAAATTTACAACTTACAACCCAACCCCCCTAAGGACATACTTTAAGGGATTGAGAGTTCAATCCCTCCCAAAAATGAATATCCTATTATAGCATTTAGGTACTTAAACGGCTTAAATCATAATTTTGATATAGGCAGTATTATGATTTATAGTTATTTGGATTAATTCACTTATTACTCATATAAAAATGGTCATGATCAGACTTGATCTTCGAATTTGGCACCACTGTTCTCTTCTAAACTTCAAATAATTTTGTATTTATGTGGCGATGTATACTCATCAACATAATATGATCTTATTATTAATACATTATTACTTTGTTACACATGCAATAAAACTATAATATTATTTATTTAGTATTCATGTATCTAATACATACTAATTTATCAGATAAATAAATATTGGCAATCAAGAAAATGTATCTGTTGATTTTAAAATAATAAATAATACACAAATTGAAACAATGGAAACTGTAAAAATATATTGATACAAGTATGAAAAATTGTATTAATACATATATGTGAAATATGTGAAATAAGAGAAGGAAAAAATAATTTAGAATATCAATTTATAAAAAAATAACTACTAAGTTTCAGCGTGTACTCGTATAACATATGAATTGAAACTTATGAAGTCAGAACCACGAAAAAAATGAGTCAATTTATGTGAATAAATAGTCTTGGTGCGGTAATGTATATCGTAACTTATATTTCAGTTATGTATCAACTGGTAAATTCCAACACCACATTGAAAACATCGTCGTATGCAATGTGTTTTTTTTATAACAACTAATATACAATATTCATTGATTTTTTTTTTTGGAGACAACAACTAAACATACCTAGTCCACTTCAAATCGAACACTTTTGTCCGTCAATGAATTTATTGAGTACGAGTATTCAGTAAACACAAGTGAATTATTCAGAAAAAAAGGATCAAGTGCAGTCCCCTATGAAACACGATAATTTGAAAAGAAATGTTACTATCTGTCCTATGCCTGAGGACGCTCATACAGGGATTACAATTCCGCTAATACATTATTAAAATGTCTGAACAAAACCATTAATCCGTGCAACGTGCATGTTTTTATACGATAATTCTTATGTATCAATAATCCAGATTTAAAATTGTAAGGACCAATGCATCTTTGTGTTGAAAGTATATTATTGTGGTGATTAAACCCTTTTCGATTCAGTCATCATGTGCTTTTGTAGTGAATTTTATAATGCACCCAAATCACTTGCAAGTTAACACTTCGATCGCAGCACATCGATATTATTTAATTAAATGCGTAGGACAAGTCAGTGATGTAGGACAAAATAGAGTAGTCCCGCGTGGTCTCAGAGCAACGGGGGTTTTGGACATTTCTGAGACTAAACTTCTTTAAAATAATTGACAATGTTAATGCATTTAACAGTAAATTCTCAAATCATACGTGGTGATTCCTGTTACATTCAGTATTAAAATAGAATAATAATTCACGCAGTATGCAATATGTTTTTAAAGTAATAAACTGGATTTAATTTTTGCTCTGTATATACAGTGGAACCTCGATAAATCGAACCTCTATAAATTGAATTTTCGATTATTCTAAGCAGTGGTGGACGCAGGGAGTGGTTTTGGAGGCATAAATAATATGCCCGGGGGCACCAAATTTTTAAATACGGGCCTGACGGTAATTATTCTTATTTTTTGAACCCCCCCTCCGAAATTTTTTTCTGCATCCACCTCTGACTCTAAAGCAGTATTGTCACATAAAAAATAGGGTGAGTGGCTAAGTTAAAATAAGAACTCAATTTTTTTTTTTTTAGAGGCGGCAAAATTTGATTTTGCCCAGTGCACTATTTTTACTTGGGCCGGTCCTGTGCGGTTGTCATGTTTGTATACAAATATTTGTATAATAATATAATTATCAATTCATACCTTATATGAAATATTTATAATACAGTAAAATCATTTATTTTTTAGTAAAATGTTACTTCCCCCCTCACACAAACAATTTGAAAACACGCCACGGCATAGGTACTATACCCCTAAATATCGATCACTTTTAGATCTTTGAATAACGAAAAAGCACTACGTCCACGACAGTTTTCTGGTCAAAATGAACGAACGCAATAATTACGTCATCTTCTACTACTATTTATATCGTTATCATTATTTAAAAATGTAATAAGCGTAGGGCAAATGGCGCGTTTTCTTCGTCGGACGAATCGAACAAAACTGGCGCTGTACTTTATGGGATACGCGCTAAGAAAAAAAAAACGTCACGTCATTCTTATTAACATTCGATTATTACGCACGTATCACTCGTCACATCATCATCATATGTCGTGGTGTTACATGTCATATCATGTCAGCCACGTCGCTTCGGTGAGCGACGCGTCATTAACCGACGGTGGAATCGAGAGTCGACCTGCAATGGTCTTCGAGGTCGTATTTATTTGTCGTGTTTTTTTCCTCTTTGCTTCTGTCCGATAAACTTTGCGCACGCGCGCCCCGTTAATTTGCCCTCCGACCGCGAGCTGATTTCCATCTTTTGCGAACGCACGTGTGCGTCGTATAGGTCAATACACGTATATTATATCGCTGGTATGGTATCGGTGGTCGGTTTTGCCGGGATTGACGGGCGCGGCGGAAGTAGTCACGCGTACGCCCGAGATAACGCAGCAGCTGATGCACGTACCGCGGTCGAATTAGCGTCGGAGATATGTGTGTGCGTTCGCTGGGGCGCGCGCGCTCGCCCGTGTGTGTGTGTTCGTGCCCACGATACGCCTCCGTAATTGCTATCGATCGCCCTGTCGTCTGCACCCGGAGCACACCCGACTGCGGAATATAATCGCGGACGCGCAAAGCGTAAAAAAAAAAAAAAAAAACCGTACACCCATCGATTCGTCCGAATTAAGTCGTCCGTGTGACATAATAGCGTAACAATTCGCTCGCTTCGTATCCCATACGAAGTTCGCGCACGTGCGCGGTTTCCCTATGCGGAACGTAAGACGTCGGATTCAAAATAAACTAGGAATTACTGACGCAAATCACTAACTAATCTACGTTGAGTCGCTACCGACGTTAATAAATGAAACACTTTACTACTAACCAGTTACTAACGCGTTAATGATAAGTGATTCTGTTCGAGTCGAGTCACCTTTAAGTTGCGTTACTTCAATATTTTGCTGCCGTACGAAGCTTTTTTGGTTTTGTACGAACATTTGTAGAAAAAATTAACGAACAAAAAATAAATTTAACGTCGGTAGAAGTGGAAAAACAACTCGTTTTACTTAACTTCACGTTTTCGGGAGGCAGGGGAAATTATTTTCATCGAATCTAAGTGCAACTTTCTTTTGACGTCCGATAAAAACATAAAAATTTAGTATCTGGAAGATTTAGTTCTCTTGTAGCAACAAATAATCGGTGATGGAAATTTTTTTCGAGGTATGGATGAACCCAAAACTTTCTATTTTTTTTATTTCTTCTGTAATGGTAGTATGCTATCATTACATCTTCATCGCTAGAATTACTAGCAATACCAATGGTGCAACAAAATGATGACGATAAAATATGTCCTTCATTCATGGTCACGCGGAACAAACTATAGATATCGATCACGAGTAGGCATTTTATGAGTAGCCTCGTATATAGCTATATATATTTATAAGTAGCCCCGAGAGTCATCAATGCGTCGATAACCGTTTAGTAATTTCAATCACAAAACAGTTTAGTTTTTTATTTAATAGCTCCGTGTGTAGAAACCTTACGCGCGCGTGTAAATGTCCAAGCGCTTGCGAATAATCTGTTCCCGGCGATCAACACCAAAGTTTTTTTTTATTCAGCCAATGATATTTTTTTAACAGCAGATTATTTCATTTCCTGCCACACTACCTAAAAGATGAATCGCACATGACGAGGATGGTACAATAACGCAGCAATAAAAAATGTTTACAATGTTACAATATTAATCTGATAATTTAATGCAAATAAAATTACAAGCGGACAAACGAGATGTACGACGACTATCGCAATATCTGTGCATAGTGCTGTGTTGCTGTTTTACTTTTTAATTACTTTTGACCCGGTTGGTGACCGTAATAAATGACCACCTACATCATGACCAGTGAGAACTGTAAAATCAAAAATAAATGTTTTCGTCAAATAAAATGTTTAGAAAAACAATTAATAATGACACTTTTTGTTAAGCAAAAAAACGCAAAAAAATAATACAATATAGTATCATACTATGGTCATACTATTTAAAACAAATGTTATCGTATTGATTGCTGTGGGTACTATCATACTTAAATCAATTATGAAATCTAACAAAATAGTTAAATTATTTTAATTGTTTTACCTACAAGTTTGCATAAAGACTAGTTTGAATTATTTGCACCATCACGGTCATCACTGTAAATCTGATTTCTATGAATAGATATAACCTAAATATAACAATATGTAAAACAACAAATTTTAATAAAAAAATTAAAAATGAGTTTACAAACGTTTATTGGATACTGGGTATATTATGTATTACGTTTCTCTTTTCTTAATAATAATTACCTCTATTACTTTTTCTGTTTAATCTTTAATACATGTATCTGTACATATTTATAAATTATTATTTATAATTTATAATAACTTAATACCATATAGTATAGTTTGCCTTACCATATATTTATTCATAAGTCGTTTCACATACATACATAGATACATACGAGTACATTTACATATTAGCTATTTGGTACTTGTATTTAGATATTATTATTTATTATTATTATTATTATTTATTATTTATTTATTTATTTATTTATTTATACATTATTTTAATACTTATTGAAATCCAAAAATCGTGCGAAACCGTTCATGGGTCTATAATTATTTAATTAGAACACATTATTTAAAATACTGACATAATAATACACCATTATAAATAATATTTGATATTTCAGAAAATAATTAATATTTTCTTACACAAAATGTTATTTTAAATCTATAGGTTTAATAAAAAGAAGGAAATAACTTAAGGGGACTAAAAAATAATTTAACTCGTTATGTAACTTAGTTAAAAATAACATTATATTAACTCTTTAACTCAACTTGCATATTATTTATTATTATGCCTAGGCTTGCGTAATAGAATACTAATTGTTAAGGCTATTATTGTAGAAGAGAACGATTCCGAATTGGTCCAATTTACTTTTTTAATACTGAGCATAATAATAGTATGATGAAATATTTACATGTTTAATTTGAATCAACAATATTTGTGTAGTTATATGTGTATGTTACAATTGTTACGGGTGCTACAAGTATCAAGAGCAATCTGGCTCCTTTAGTGCGGCCCGAGCATTTTTTTTAAAACAGCCCAAAAAACATTGCTTAAATTATTACACTATTTCAGTATTTATGTTATAATACCAAAATTGTTTTCAGATATATATTTAAACATGATATAAATACATAACAAAAACATTTATTATAGAGTTAATAATTTATGCAAAGTTCCAAGTGGTAAATTGAGTTTCAATATTATTCTTAGTGCGACAAATTATGTAGTATTGGACATTATTGTAATGTGTTATTTGTAACTTATATATTATGAATAAAGAAAAATTATTATTGTATTATAAAAATCGCAATAAAATATTACTACCACACGGGCCGACCCTATAATTTAACATTCGGCTGATACTGGAAATTTCCCGATTTGCCAGTTCGCCCCTGATAAGTATATAGGGTTGGGCGTAATTGTATACAATGATTTTGTGTAGTGCATTGTTTCGTTTTGAATGCATAGCACCGACTTACCTATTTCATTGATAATAAAATAAACATATTTATTTTTAAAATTTGTTCCTAAAACTTATTTTACTATTGTTTCAATAATAATATAATAATATAATATATATAATATATTATAATATTATTTTAGATAAAATATTTGTTGAAATTTACCGACAATAAACTTAATTGATTTGAGTATTTGACAAAACCTAAGTCTCTATAGAACAGTGGTCTTCAATCAGTGGGTCTCGACCCAATTATGGATCATGTAAGTTTTAAGATTGGGTCACCATTTTAAGTCTTTAGTTTAAAATTTAAAAAATTCATATTTATATATTATAATTATAAAATATTATACTATATTATGTATGTAATATGACTTCGATAAAATAATTTTTCATTAAACCCGAAACCGTAATATTTTATATTTAATATATATAAAAAAATTACAAATTACAAATTACAAATTTTGTAGAAGACGAGAATGAACATCAAATTAAGTAATGGTATAACGATACCTTGACTTCATCGATAATACTCTTATCAATGTATAATTTACTGAGTGTACAATTAAGCCGAGATAGAGAATTTTGTGTAAAAACAGTTAGTTTTTTTTTTTTTATATCATTACTTATTGTAAAAATTAAATATTACTTTAACAAGCAATTTTAACTTTTTTTTTTTTGTTTTCATGACTAACAAAACTGACATGGATCATAAAAAATACATGGAAAACAAGTGGGTTGCGAGTCAAAAAGGTTGAAGACCACTGCTGTAGAGTATTGACCTATGGTCCTATCCGATACTGTCATAAAAAGTTTACACAAACTAGAATATTAAATATAATAATAATACTTATTATAAATAATTATCTAGGAGTAATTCTTATTATTAAATATAAATTTATTATTGAAGAATCACTTAATATTTATACTAATATATACTATATAAGTGCAGCAGCAAACTTACGAGTCCGGAGTCACGATTTTATTTTGAAATCTATTTCGGTAGAAAGGCTGATAACGACGGTGGTCAGTCACCACTCACCTGTTTGGCGAGTTAGTCGTGATCGCGGACGCGGAGGGATCCGCCAATAAAATCAAAAATTAAATTTTTAGAAAATGATTTGTTCATTTACACGACACTACCTATCGACAGACTATGTACACATAATTTTAGTAGTCGAAAACCCCTATACCATAGGCTATCTGTTTATTCTATAATCAATGCTTACGCATTATAATAGGTACTTATATCCTAAACGTGATCGGTGTTTAATTCTCGAAATTAGAACACTGCTTGGAATATCAGACGAATTGATTTTTTTGGGGGGGCATGTCCCCTATTTTGTGACTTCTTGTCACTATATTGACGTGAAAATGTCGGCGACAAGTTGTTTCTTCGAAATCATAACTCGCTTACAATGGAAAATCGACAGGTGTCGTTCAAAGATAATAACTCATGTGTATAATAAATGTGTCATATAATCACGTCTTTGCACACGACTTTTCAATTGTATGAAAAATAACGATTGTTTAAAATTATACATTCATTTTTTTTTTTATGAATAACCAAAAAGAGAAAAAACACACGTGGAGTTAATGCGTTATGCGCAGTGACGTATTTATATGCAGGCACTATAGGCACGTGCCTATAGTGACAAATTTGAAAAATGTATTTTTTTATTAATTATTAACAAAAATGGCTTTAATTTTATGAATTCATGTTTTAGTATTTAAGAAAAAATTATTTTAATTAAAAATATTTTTGCATACTTACCTAATTAATATAAATTTTATAGTATGTAATTAAATGATAATTCAGTTAGTGCGGTATATTATTTTAATTATTTAAAGAGACAATTTTCCACTGGCTTACACACGAGAAATATGTAAATACGCCCCTTATCGTCCGTTTCAGATAACGAAATATCGAAATACAAAAACAAATATGAATATGACTTATTCTTTATGCGATTTCTATCACAACCGAAATTAAAACTGTTTTATTTTATATATTATAGCATGTGTGTATAATAATGAGGATATAAGTGATTTTTCACGAAAATACGATTAAACAATAGGTAGTACATATTTTCCGTTGAAAAATATTTATAAATGTACTAACAAGTTTTACAAGTAATTCTCATCGTGAAAGTAGCTCTAAAGAATATTCATGTTCATTGAAATAATAGTAGAATGTTTCTACGAGTAGTTACGAAAACACTGGTTGTATAATCTAGTTTTGTCCATAATATAAACAATTATACTTGAAAATCAATATAAATGTTTTGTTATTAATTTCCTTCTAATCAGTATGTAATATTGTTAGTTGTTATATTAACATTTATATGCTGGGAAATGAGATGATAGAAAATCTGTGTTGTTAATATCCGTAGTATATTTTTGAAATATTTGGTACACTATACAAATGGCAAGCTTGCAAATTTTCCGATTAGTATATTGTGGCATATATTCTTATGATGTACAATAATTTAGCATGAAAAAAGTGGGTTTTATTATTTTTGCCATCGAATCTATTATGTTAAAATTATTATTATTATTGTTAAAATTTAATATCGAGCCACTATTTATAAATTTAACCGAATTCATTGGACTTTCGTGCATTTACATAAACTGTAATCGATGTTCATTATCACAACGATTGTCGGCGAAAAATATCACGTTGAGCCATAACTCATAAAATTCTCTAAATACTTATACATTGGAATTTAACTATTTATCGTATATTTATACCTTTACAATATATTCAATAAAAATGTTATTAAAAGTGTCGAAAACTTATACACTCCCCCACGCCCTCAAAACGTTAATATATAACGTGCATTGTGCATCAAAATCATCATTGTGCCTTGAAACACAAATGCAATCGTGTCGAATATTAATGAAAATTGGTAATACGAGTAATTGTTTCTTTGTTTGTGAAATCCATTGGGGCTGAAATCAGAAGTTTCCACGGAGAATAGTATAAATAAAGCGTACCTATATTTACTCTAAAATTTCGTCAATCACTCAGTGCAATTCCTGATTCAGATTCTATGATATTTTTATAGCTTTAACCTTGACCGAAAACGCATAATCATCATTCATAACAAAACAATTCCCCGATGTATACATAACATATATACAAATATACATAATGACGGACTTATACAGGGTCTTGATAATTTAGTATTTGTTCGTCCTACACAAAGGGATACACAAATGATCCACTTTTCATTCCTCAGGGCATACCACGTCCCTCCAATCATGTCACTGTAGCGACATCGTTTGTATACTCGCAGTGGTGGAATTTATAATTAATCACGTCGCTTCGGTTGGTTTTTTTAATCTACTGCCAGTAAATTTATTTAATGGGTATGGTCGAATTGCACTTGGGTTAAAAAAAGGTAACGATCGAACTGCACTTGGGCTCAAAAAAAGTATTCCAACAAATATATCATGCATTTGAAGGGGTTAAATATTTATTAAACATTCATATACCTTCCTACTTACAGACTTATGACTAATTATAATTTTAGTTGACGTGGATAAAAATGATTTTTTTATACGTACAATAATTGTTATGTTAATATATATGAGTATATATAAATCAATTTTAAATCGTAAGATATTATTATTGTCGTTATTATAATTTTTTTCAATTAATTTCAATCATTTTTTGTAGTAATAAACTAAATTAAAAAGCTGGTAACATGCTTTTGAGCAGCAAGGTTGATATATTTTTCAATATCATTAATTTTTTTCTGGTACCGTGAAGTTAAAGGTTTTATGTCAGTATTCTGAATTAAATATTATATTATATTATATTAAATATTATATTTTATATTTACATTAATAATATAAGTATCTATTTGTAATTATGTTAAAATATCAATATAAACAAATAGATATTGGGATATGGTAATGAAAATAATTTGTTAAATTTTGCGTAAAAAGACTTACATGCATTTGTAGTTCTTTGGCTAGAAATCGTATTCAAAATCAAAATATAAGGCGGGGAAAAGTCCAATATTAAAAATATAATTATCTACTAAATAGAAACTAAATTCTAGAACATCGTGGTTTTCCGGAATATTTATACAAAATCATCTATATAAGATTCACCAACTTCAACTGATTTGATTAATGATTTTCAAGTATTATATAAATAGTATACAGGTCGGGCTTATGACTACAACTATAATATAGTATAAATATAAATACACTCTGTTATAGTGTATTTATAACTATGACAAGGTCGCGTGAGGGGGGGGGGAAACCGATCACCGTCTGCGCAACGAGATACGGTACAATCTCATTTTAAACAAAGTATAGATGACTTACTGTTAATTTCAAATGGTTTACGGAATATGAAGCATTGAAGCATAAACAAAATACAATAACATTATCATTATCATTATTTTATAATAATTAATAATGAATATAACATTTCAAGTTAAATATTTTATGTTATACCCACCCACCTCTTATTTTCAAAGTGTAGCGACCACTAACACCTAGTAATAGGGTTGGGCGCCACAGTATAGAAGTGTTGACAATTTCTTCCCTAATCACTTTTAATGGTCTATAAATACCTTGCTCAGCTTATTTCCTTTTTGCCGAACATGTAACAAGAATACTTATTAAATTTTAATCTATAAATGATAAAATAAACATAGTTATAATTTTTAATTCAATATTGTGGTATTATAGTCCCAATGAATACGTTTTTTTTAGAATTTCCTAATTTGTCTTAGATTGTTTCAGTTATTTATGATTTGTGCTCTTGTAGTCAATTTTAGATGTTATATTCTGTGTTGGGAATTATCTAGATAGATTTTTTGTCATATTTTATCTTATCTAGATAAATAACGCTAAGTTATCTAATTACTTATCTCAGATAACATTTTTACTTATTTAGATAATTGTCTGTATTCTTGTCAAGATTAGAGTTATTTTTATTCTTGTACGAAGACAAATCCAATAAATCAGAGATCATCAAAATCGGTTCAGCCGTTCTTGAATTATAAATTCTGTAAATAACATATCATTCTTTTATAAATATAGATTTTGTATTCATAATCATAATTCGTGTATTATTAATAAATAATTATTATTTCTTGGTATGACATTTTGTTTGTATTTTCATGCCGGAAAAATATTTTTGGTATTTTTAAACTAAATTTCTTATTTTTCCATGGAAGTTTCAAGTATAGTAGGTATTTGATTTTAGTAAACACATTTAACTCATACGCTGAATAGTCATTACTTCACTCTTGATATACATTTCTTACAATATTATTATAATATAAATATAATCTTTAACGAATAAAAAAAATACACATTTAAAATTATTGTCTGTTTGAATGTACTTATTTGTTAATTACTAAAAAAATTTGAAATTTGCATTCTGGACTATGCCTTCTCTCCCAATTTAAATCCTGGATCCGCCACTGATTTCCCAAACAAGACATCTAAAAGTGATGGTCAAGTATTACTGTGTGTAAAAACCCAATATCAAACGCTCAACGATCCTTAACTATACAAAACGAAAACATTAAGAAAGAACATACATTACAACGTAGAGAAAATCTTAAAGCTATTTCTCGCAAACACCTACATCTAGTAATAATAAGACCATTTTTTATACAGACCTTTGTCTTAAAACTAATTCGTTCAGATACCATTATCTATATAACAAAATCCTGATTTAAAAATGTTTTTGGAAAAATATACACGTCAAAGTATTCCAGATGAAAAAAACTATTCCAAAAAATATTATATTTGAGATACTTGTCTTAAAATTCTTTTCTTAATCTGAGGTGTGATTCAAGATAGGCTCATTTTGGGTATCTATCGATAAAATGGGAGACGAAGAGGAGAGGTTCATTGCAAATTTAGTTATAAAAAAATTATGCGACGAGCCTACTAAACCAGTACAACTTATCTGTGGAAAACTCAAATCATTAGAGAACAGCAAAACTGTTTAATGACTCTGAGTTTACTCTAGCCAAGTGGAGTAAAACATGAAAATGCACTTTAGTTGGTTAATGAATCAGTTCCCAATATGATGACGGCAGGAAAAGCATTATACATTCTTTATTTAAAACTATTCAGCTTACATATTTAGTACATGGTTTTCATCGTGTGTCAGAGACAATTAGGACAGGATATCATACTCTCGATTTTCTCATCTAAAAATTTTTCTTTTGAAAGCTCCAAGTTTTTCAAGACACATATCTTGATCTTGCTTTACCACCGGAGCCAATAATTACAAGGTGAGACACATCGTGAGAAATATTCGAAAATATAAGAAATTATTTAAAATTAGATTCAAAAACTTCTATAGCTAAACGCTTCTATAGGAAACGCTCAAAATATTATACAAAATGAAATATTGAAAATTATCTAATTTTCATACCAGTGAATTTTAATTTTATTGTACATATAATTACAAAAATCATGTTCTTAAATGGTAGTACGCAAATCGTCGAATCAGCGATAGGAAAATTATTAAAAGCAATATATTATTTTGATATTTTTATAATATATATTTAATGTATTTTTTCCATAAATGTATTGTACCTACTCGTACTTATAGAAAAAAAAAATCTTTTAAAAATGTTTTTAATACATATTTTATAAATTATACTTCCTTTTTTATGTACATATTTTTGTATTTTTATGACATATAAATCCTTCCCCTAGTCATGATTGAAGTGATGGCTGAGAATCTGTATAAGTACGTTGAAGGAAAAGGAAGTAGGACTCTGAATGCCTTTTCACTTAACACTACGTATTCACACTCCACTGTATAGTGTCACGTCACTCGAACAAAACACACAGTATCACAAGGCACGATCGACGGTCGCATTAAAACCAAACCGTCGTTTTATCTGTTTTAAAATTACGCATGGGCACATACTAATGTCACGTACTAATTTTTCGTTGCCGACAATTGTTTTTTGACTTTTCTTATATTGTTTAAAAGTACAAAATACAATAGACTGGTTATGTATATATTATTATTTACTGTACGTTTCACACTGTAATTCAATATTTTATAAATGTATACGCCCAACATGACTTTTACCCACTGGAAACCTCTGATCATTAGTTAGATTTTTTCAGAGTAATTTTTTTTAAATATTTTGAAAAAAGCACTTGAGTTTCACGGAACCCTTAAGTGATCCTTGCGGAACACAGTATTTTAAATACAGTTCTATCTAGTACGTAGCATAAAATGTAACTATTAATAATAAAAATTACTGATATCTATTTAATATCCAGTTAGGTTAAGACGTGATTACACGGTTCACTCTTGATGATCATTTTAAATGAATCATCCACAGTGAAACATTAAAAATTAATAGAAACTGTTTACATGATTCACTATAGATGATCACACCTTTCATTGTGTAATGAATTATCTTTATTTATTAGTAAATAAACTTTTTTTTATTTGAGTACCTACTATTACATTAAATATTTTTATAGTTAATAGATAGTACTTATTCAATTAAATGCAATCTAATGCAGTTATAAGAGCTGGAATTGTATTGTGTTCCACAGACATTTTCGATCTTCCATTAAACTTAATACCATTAGAGTGAGGTCATCTTTTTTAAAACCATTGTAATTATAAATTATATAAATTGGTACGTTAAGTAAAAAAATGGCTAAAATAAGTAATTAATAATTATTTTGTACTGGAAGTTATGTGGTAACTTTTTACTACGATTTTCTTATCAGAGCAAAATAGCAAAAATAAAAACATGTAAAAATAACAGTGCACTTGATTGCTACGTCAAGGTAAGTCATGTTAAAATTGCAGAAAATAGTAGTAGTATTAAATACAAAAAGTAACAGTAACATAAAAAGTAGCAGTCACTATTTTCATACTGGAGTAGCACATTGTGATTGCTATTTTATGAAAAATCTGAAGTGGCAATTAAAAATATTATCACACTTTTTGAATAACATGTTTTTACTTTTTTATTTTATATATTTTTTACGTCAATCAGCAGTTAAAAAAGATATATACATATAGACAATAACAATTTAGTAACAACAACAAGCTATAATAAAGCTATAAAATAAAAAGAAAAAACGTACAAATTATATACGAGTAAGTAGCCATAGAATGCAGCTAAAACAACTAGGGTACATTTGGATTACCCACAAAGAGAAGAATCTTGGCCTTTATAAGATAGTGGGATAGAGGAATAATAAAAAAAGAGAACAGTAGAGGACTTAAGTGAAGTATATAATGTGATAAATAAAATTATATATTATTATTATTATTATTATTTTATAATTTTGTCATAATTTGTTGAAAAATTTGTCGATTCAGGTATTAAATTTCATAAAATACATAATTTATTTTGAATTTTTTTATGTTTAAATCAATATAATCAATCAGATATTTGTTGAGAAATTATTTCGTTCGGTAACACAACATAAATTGTATAAAATAGTATATGAATTATAATATAGAAATTATGAAATACATGAAATAAAAAGTATTTTTAATTTTATAATATACATAATATACATATTTTTTAAAAATCAAAATGATTTGTTTTAGATTTTACAAAAATTAAAAATTAAACAGTTTTTTTAAAAAAATTATCTATGTATAATGTTTAGTCGCATTTCCATACCCTCAAAATTAAAAAGAAATATAATTTAATTGCCTTAATTTTCATAGGAGATCCTGTACATGGATAATGTGTACACTGTGCAATATATCAATATAAATATAATATTCTGAAACTGTGCTCATATGCGTGTATATATGAATTGTGTATAATCAACCGAAAATCATTGTCTGAATCCGTTAACGACGAGACTTTGCGTAGAGTTCTGTCTTTATGACCTTATTGGTAGCGTGCATATACAAAGTGTTGTATAATTTAAGCTCTGAAAATCACTATTTCTTTTGCACTCATCTGCCGAATCTCCACATTCTATAAGGACTATATACATTTAGGTTCTAAAATTTAATAATATGAATTTGGTAGATTAATGGTGATTTAAATAAAGAATTTTCGATTATTCAAAATGTTTAAGTAATTATGAAAATTGTTGTACTTAATGACTAGGTAATTTTT